AAGTGGCATTCACAAGGCTACAGTGGCACCTCGTGGGCTCTGAAGAGTTGTACAGAGACGTGCACGTGACGTGTGCAGACTTCCAAAGGGCAGTGGTTTGGGTTTTTGTTGTTTTTTTTTGTGGTTTTTTTGTTTGTTTTTTTGCTCAGCTGCCATAACAAAATGCCGCAGACTGGGCGGCTTAAACGGCATACACTTCTCACATTCTGGAGTCCAAGAGTCCAAGATCAAGGAGTCGGCAGGTCGGGCTCCGTCTGAGGCCTCCGTTGGGTTGCTGATGGCCACCCGCTCGACCATGTCCTCCCGGGGTCTTTTCTCTGCACGCGTGGTGTCCACACCCCCTCTTTGTAAGAACCCCACCCCCAGATCGCACCAGTCAGCTTCCTGGAGAAAGCCCCAGGTTGCCCTCGTGTGTGACTTCAACCCTTGCCTATGAACCAACAGTAACTCTAAACCCAGCTCTCCCTCCGATGGTACCTGTGATGGCTGTTGTGGTCTTTGGCTACTGTTTACGGAATAACATGGAAACCGCGTTCTCACTGCAGCCAAGGGACCGGCGAGAGTCCCTGGAGGCCAGTAGGTAGCTTTTCCCAGTCGGGTGGGCGTGCAGATATGCTCTCCTACAGCTCAGCTTTCGCCAGGGGAATTAGCTCACAGGATGCACTTTCCTTGCCCTCGCGCCCTCTCTCTGTCACTGCGCCCGGCTGGTTTGTGTGCACGGGGAGCAGCTCTGACCCTGGGAACGTGCAGTTCACACTCAGCTTAGGAACTGAGCGCCTCCTCAGTCACTGCGCAGCCATCACAGTGGTCTTTCTGTCTAGGACGTCATCTCAGAGCGGAACCCTACTCGCCGCCTCTCCACAATCGAGAGGATTTGATCAACCATTAAAGTATATAAACTCAGCTCCGAGATCATGAATTAGGGTCCCTTCCCCAGCACACTTTCGGATCTTTTGTTTCCTAAGCTCTTCAAAAAATACATGGAGGAGCGCTTTTCCTTTTCACCCGCAAAAAGTGGGAGGGGAGACTCATACACCAAAGTCTGATGAATTTTTGGAATAAAACCACGGAGGGTTACCAGCCACCGGGATGTCGGTTCCCTCCCACCTGGAACTCACCGCCCTCCCGCTTGCCTCAGGTGTGAGTCGGTGATGCCTCAGCCCCCAAACACCAGGAGATGGCCTGCGGAGGAAGGGCCCGTTTCAGCTGTGCACCGAGGTGAGGGAGGAGTTACGGGCAGATCCACACGTGTCCCCGGTTTAGTGGGGATGTTCCAGAGCCACACGTGGGGAGAGGCCCCTCCTCCGTGTTTGGCTGACTCTCCTTTCTCCCTAAGTAAACATGTTGTGTCCGGGCTCTGGAGAGAACGAACCAACAGGATGTGCATCTAGAGAGATTTATTTCAAGGAATTGGCTCCCCTGATGATGGAGGCTTGGCAAGTCCAAGATCTTAGGGGGAGAAAAAGATCTTACTGGGGAGGCCAGCAGACTGGAGACACACA